CACACACACACACACACACACACACACACACACACACACACACACACACACACGTGTATTGGTGAAACCAGTGGAAAACAGAAGCACATGTGGTTGCAGCGAGGCTCAAATACAACAGGATATCAAACCTATACTAGGGTTCAGTGCAGGATTTAAGCCAGAGCTCATGTTCTACCTAAAAGTCCATCTGTCGCTGTTTATCTCATTAGAAGAGCGAGGGGTCTGTAACATCAGGAGGACTTCCAGACTCCGTTAGTCACTCTGTCATCATTTTCAGTCACTCGCGGTTTAAATATTTACAATTTGGGCCAAGTGCAAAGTCAGATGGAGAGAGATAATGGAATTGTTCCGCTTTTTCCCTGGTGGGATGTTATCATGTCCTCTTGTCTCTGCACTAATGATATCACAGATAAAGGGAAACATTCACACAGAGGAGACTGGCCTACTTACTCTTTGGGTTTTGGTAAAGGTTATTTCTCTCAGCTGGAAAGACAACAGTGAAAGGACAAACATGTTGCAGCAGTTTAACATCCAGTATCTGAATTTCTTTTAGGCGCAAAGTTCCCAATAAAATGGACCGCTCCTGAGGCGGCTCTCTACGGGAAATTCACCATCAAGTCGGACGTGTGGTCGTTTGGCATCCTGCTGACGGAGCTGGTAACCAAGGGCCGAGTGCCGTATCCAGGTGAGGGTCTGCAGCTCTGTGGGTTATGTAATCTCATCCCAACTCCAGATTATTGCTCATATTTGATTAATGCAGAGTGCGTGAGAGTGTTTGAGTCTGCTGAGACTCTAGCCATGGATTTGTATTCTAAAAAAAGAGCAGCTTGTTGCATAATGTACATCATATTGTGCATTATGCAGAGCAATGTTCCCTGACGAGTGTGAAAACATGTGAAATGACAGTGTCCTTGTTTATCTGCTATACACATTCTGACATTAAACTGACATTATATGCATTTGAATGAGTAACAGAATAACACAAATGAAGAAAAAGCTCTTATTTCCAACCGTTTAAATACATGCTCCCACACACACCCACACATGCTTTTCAATTTCTCTGGATGATTAAACCTGCAGTAAAGTGGAAGTTGATTTCTATGAACTAGAAGAAGCCTTAACCATCAAATGCAATTTATCAACTCACGACGAAATCTTATGTTTATGCTGGCAATCTAATGTTATAAGATTTATAACATTACATTGTCAGCATTTCGTTTTAGGACGCAGACATATTTAACGGTCTCAAAAATTCAATCGTAGTCATGCTCAACTTATTTCTTATGAGATTCATTTCTGAGTTCATCCTAGCATGGAAGTTGATTGTTGACCTTTAGGATCAGTGTACTGTACTGTATGTTACCAAAATTAAAGCTTAAAGGTCCAAATACTGGCTTCTAGAGCTTTGAACCGCATTTCTTTGTAAAATAAATTAGGTTTTGAATTGTTTTGGTTACACGAAATGTAATCAAAGAATCAAACTTAATTTGTTTAGTGTTTTTAATACAAGTTAGTACACTTATAAGTGCTTCACAGATGATTGACCGTGAAAATAACGGAAAACTAAATAAAAAAATATGATTAAATATAATAAAAGCTATAAAAACACTAATACTAGTAAAACAGTGTTAAAAATGAAAGGAGCAGGGAGAATAAAATCTTATTTGACCTGCCCCTTCTTACAAAAAAAAAGAAATGAAATAACCATTAAAAAGTAAAATAAAAGCAATATTCTTTCAGTCGCGGTTGCTTCCTGTTAATGCAATAACCTCATACAATTTAATTATTTTAATAAAAGAGCTCATAAAAGAAAACCCAAAAAGTGAGACCGTGATGTGAGATGCTTATTATTCCATTGCCTTCATTTCTCCGTGTTCCTCTTTCCAGGCATGAACAACCGCGAGGTGCTGGAGCAGGTGGAGCGGGGCTACCGGATGCCGTGCCCGCAGGACTGCCCCCCCTCTCTGCACGAGCTGATGGTGCAGTGCTGGAAGAAAGACCCTGAGGAGAGGCCCACCTTTGAGTACCTGCAGGCCTTTTTGGAGGACTACTTCACTGCCACTGAGCCTCAGTACCAGCCGGGGGACAACCTCTGAGCGCCACTGCTCTCATCTCATGTCATCCCACCGGCTCTCCACCAGGGGGGGCCCCACTCCACCTCTTCTCTCTCATCCTGTGGCTGTTACAATTCAAAGCTCATTGACTGACTTCTTGACTTCCAAGCTGCTGCTCTGACGGCACACTGACTATCAAATCTGAGGATATTTGGAGGGGTGGGAGGGGGTGCTGGGAGTTAAAAATGGATGATGGAGATGAGTCGTGTCGTGAACCTGTACGTAGTGTAAATATAAATTGCTTGTTTACTTATCTCTTTTATGTTTCATTTTATATTACTTTTGATATTTTGGAAATGTGTGGATTTTTTTTTTAATCCGAGGTCAAAGTAATTTCAGATTTCAGCTCGTAGACAAATTGTGTGAAGCTCACATTTGGTATCAAATCGTGACTTAATAACTGTAGGAATGGTAGTTAGACATCGTGGACCGAAGCATCTCAGAAAATGTTCTTTGGGAGTCCACTGACCTTTTTTACGAGGTGAATATAACGATACTGCTCTCCTCTTCTCAAGGAACTTAGATGTACTATAACACCTGTTCTTGCCTTTTCATGTTTAGTAATATTCTTATATTGTAAGAGAATGCCTTTATGCTTTCTACACACTAACTTAGTGCATCATGGACTCTTCCACCCAAACTTGTATGGCATCTGCACTAATATTAAGTGCATTCATCGCATTTCAGCTTCAGCCAATGATTAATAGATCGACTTAAGGTGACTTTTAGTTCAGCTTCTTGTAGTTGAAAAGGAGGCGGACTTCCTCTCTTTAACTGCAACCATTGTTTGGCTGACTGCTTATTATACTGGCAATATTTTAAAATGTATGTTGCATTATCGTATGGCTGCCAGCTGTGTAAGAATTCTTGTCCTTTTTCGCTTCAGCGGCCAAACAAACAAACTGCCACCTACATGAAGGAAATGAAGGAAGTGACCTGTGTTTGTCCCTCCATAATGTGTATCTTAAAATAACATGTCGTTTGAGACCAAACGTGTTTATTTCACTGTATTATTTTTGGCTAAACATTTCGGCCAGTGTTATGTGTCGTTAAGATTACATAATCCTGTGACCTTTCCTGGGAAATCTGCAGCTCTGGATGACATTTCTCTCATCCTCAAGTGTCAAACTTCTCTCTGTGTGCATTCCAGGACAATACACCTTTTCTGTGCGTATTTAAGTTGATTTTCACGGTCCGAAAAGCGAGCAAGAAGTAGATTTTGTATCACTATGTTTGCTCTAATTCAGTAGATATACGAAACATGTTTTTGGTCTTGGCATTATTTATTGTCTCTGTCTGTTACTTGTACACCTCTGGTTTTGAAATAAACAATCTTGCCACCATCGTCCTGTGGAACACTTAAAAACAATTATCCCTTAACACTTGTGAGCAAGTTGTTTTAATACTTGCCTGTCATGTAGCTTTTGTCAAGGAAATATGCAGAGCCAGGGGAGACTGACAGCAGATATCAATCACACAATAAGTGAGTGGTCTTTAAGAGCGATTGAGATATGTGGTTTACCCTAAGGCTCTACTTGGAGTACATGCACATCTCTTTTGGCTGTTAACTTTAAAGTGAATTAATATGTATGTATTACCTGTTTGTTTATATTCATTGTACTTTTTCCCAATCTTTGTTTCAGGTGTTTAATTGTTTGTTTTGTTCTGACTTAGCTCATTTTGTGGAATTTAGTTTGAATATAGCTTTGTTAGTCTGAGAGTATAGCTTCATAGCCCCTGTTTTATTGTTACTCAAAACTATGCAACACGTCTTAATAATGTAATGTTCTAATAAGGAAATTAACTTTAAGAAAACTTTGTTTGAACAGTTTAGACTCCACTATTGAATGTTATCATCTAATCTCACCTGGCCACTCCGGCTGAGCAACACAGCCTTTCTCTGATTGGACACACCTGAAGCGGTGGAGAATTTGCATATACTGTAGCAGGCTGGAGCTTACACAAGCCTCTGCACCAACAGGAGTGTAAAGAATCCAGGCTGGAACAGGTATGTCACTGTTGGTCTTTCTCCTTCCTTCTGACGGTGTTCTCAATGCATGGTAGGTACAAAATAATATAAATGCAAGAATAGGATTGTTGTGGTGTGTATGTTTAACAATAACTGCATGTGTAAAAGTATTGTCTTGTAATGTTCAATTTTATTTGAATCACACTTCCAAATGACCTTTAGTTCTGTTTTTCTACTCATGAGGATCACTTGTTTTCTGCGTCTTTTGTACTTGCAGGACTGCAGGCTGACTTGGTTAAGATGGACAAATCTGAAGAACCACCAGAACTAAAAGTGTTTCCCATCACAAATAAATCAGAACATTTCCTTCAACCTTTAATCCCTGAAGTCAAAGTAAACCAAATGTTTCACGCCAATCCACATCATAATAGATCCATACCAGCCCATTACATGGATGCAGACTATTTCTGCCAAAAAGGAGCAATTGCAGTTGGACAAGTGAACCAGAATTGTGGGAGTCAGCCAGTTTGTGATACGCGGCGTGATCTGATGGAGCACAAAGAGCCAGAAGATAGAGGAGCAGCTCCTGCCAGGATGAATCTCCATCATCGCCCCCGTCCTGCGGAGACCAGAGCGGGGGACACGAGAGCAGACTGCTCCTGTTTGGAGTGTGGATCTCACCGGTTTGGAAACACTGAGCCTGCAAACACAGACACAACGAGGTGACTGAGAAGGAGCCACCTGTCAGAGAATATCTTATCATTAGCATAATGCTTCAAGGTTTGAAATTAAAAGTAAAACATTTTTAATTTTCAGGGGTGAGGATGAATTTAATTCTCAGCTTCAGAGTGATGAAGAGGATCTTGAGCTTCCCTGTCCGCTAAGATCTGACGATGAGTGGCAACACTACCAACCACGTCAGCCTCCTCACCACTACATGCACAACTATGGTAAGAAAAACTCTATTTATTAATGTATAATAATAATTAATTATAATTAATATATATTATTATGTATGTTATTCCTTTTTGTTCACTGTAAATGTCAAAAAACTGTTAATATGCAGTTTGCTTGAAAAAAGAAGATAATCACATGGACAAGTATTTCTGTTATCATTACTATTATTATTGTTTATATGTCCTTGCTTTTACCAAGTAGCAGCAATACAGGAGTGTGCAAACAATATTATTCCTATATATTTCACAGGTAAAAGTACAGAAATATTATCTGCAAAACTTACAGTATTATAAGTTTAACTCCTCTGAAGTGAAGTATTGTGCATAAAATTGACTCCTTTGAGACTTTAATTGGTAGATATCTTTGTAATCATAAGTGGAAAAATGTTTAAGCAGCACTTAAAGGTTGCAGTGTTTTAAGGTAAAGCACATTTTAACTACTTCATATAATGTTCAGTATTTAAACCTATGACAAGTAATTGTTAGTTTCAGAAGAATGTGTAAAATAAATCATAATTTTACTCTAAACTAAGTGGAAGTACCGTAAAGTGTGCTCACATAAAATACAGGTCTAAAGCGTTTGCAGTACTTGACTGTAGTTGCTTCTAACCACTGTCATTAGCAGCACTTTTTGTCATTATGTATTTTAGAGTATACGATTTTAATTTGGCTGGGTATTTTAACTGGCAACCTGCTTCTCTCTAGCTTATTTTATTTTGGCATTTTCTGCCTCATCATGTGCTTGAACTATATTTACAGACCCCCGTCATACCATGAATATCGGGTATTATCAGCAGCAGTTCAACCCGTATCCAGGCCACAGATACCCTCCTCAGCCATGTCACCACTCTGCTCCCTACCAGCAGAGAGGACCCTGGGATGACTACCAAAACTGGTAAAAAAAAAAAAAACATGCAGAATCTTAGAACAACTATGTGCAGTCCACAACTTTGTAAGCACGCAAAAATGCTGTGACCAAGTGTTGCAGCTGCTTTGCATATTATCAGCTGTCTGCAGGATTGAACTGATGAGCCTTTTCTATCTTTTCTTTCCAAATGCTCCAGGCACCGACACCCTCATGACCCTATGAATAGCATGGTGGCTCAGGGAGGTGTGTCGGTGAACGTGCCTCAGTTCTTCGTCCCCCCGGTGGAGGGCATGTCACAGGTCAGCGTGTTGAACCTGAGCCCTGCAGGAGAGGAGGCGTCTGTCTCACATCCACAAGAGAAGAGAAGAACCATCAGTCTGCCCGAGGAGTGCCGTGAGTCACTTTGATTTAATCATTTAATAGGATGTTGCTCGTTTTATTGTACAAAGGAATTATGTTGTAGGGCACTTGGAAGTACCTGCAGGCTTATGAGGTTACAACTGGAAGCAGGGTGTGTGGTGTATCGTGTTACTAGAAACCTCCAGGTCTGTTTTAGGGGCTTATAAATAGAAATTACATTTATATAAAGGATACACTAATTGTTATCTCTGCTGTTTAAGCAGGAGGTTAGCATAATAAGAACAAGGTTTAAAATGTTGATTCTAATTGTGCTTCACTCATCATGAAGACATTCTGCATTATTTTCACACAACACAATTAAAAGTGTACATTTAAAAAAGTCGAACTGAAACCTTTTCATTGTTATTTTAGAAAAAATGTCTAAATGTGAGATGTTGTTCAAAGTTGCAGAGGTATTTATTCAATGTTATGTTGTATACATTAAAGGGTAATATAGTAAATCAGTATATTACCACAGTAACAAAGAACACCATCTAAAGTTATCAGAATAACATGTTTAACATATTTAACACCAAAACTAGAATAATATTAATTTGTTTTTTTATATTCTTTCTTCTCTTCACAGGAAACATTTTAATAACCTATTCTTCGGACATTTCCTCAGAAATAGTCCCCTTCGTAGACTTCCTCACAAAGCAAGGTTTCAGACCAGCTGTAAGATACTTCCTTTCCACACAGGTCAGATTTAAATAAAAAAAAAACCTCAACAGTTAACTCACAGCCCTGAATTTAATTCCACAGATTGGCATATTTGACAACCCAATCAGACGCTTGGATATCAACAAGTGGAAGGACAGTTACCTGAGAGATGTAAGTATTAAGCATTTGTATTGCTTGCTTGTATTTGTATAAAACTGTCAGAAGTTATGACTTATAAGACAACATCTGTGAGATTGTGTACTTGAATATTCCATTTTAATTTTTTTAGCATGTTTCAGGTCGTGAATGTGTCTAAAATGTGTGTGTTTTTAAACAGCCATCAACCCTGATTATCGTCGCCATCAGTCAAAAGTATAAGGAGGACATTGAAGGATATGCAGTGGACAACCATGGTCTACACACTAAATATGTTCACTCCATGGTGAGAACATCTCCTTTTTCAGTGAGACATCATGCTGATTATAATTGCGAAAAGATTCTTTAACACTTAATCTAATTTTTCAGATGCAGAATGAATTCATCCAACAAGGCAGCTTGAATTTCAGATTCATACCGCTTCTCTTCCCAAATGCATCCCAGGTCAGAATGTGTTTGTTTGCAGTTACTCCATATTTACACCATTTCTCTCTGTACTACTGAAAAACATGACTATGCACTCTCCTTACAGAAGCACGTCCCATGTTGGCTTCAGAACACGCGTGTTTACCGCTGGCCGCAGGACACTGAGGATCTGTTACTGCGGCTGCTAAGGGAGGAGAGATACATTCCTCCTCCGGTCCCGCTGGAGCTCACCCTCATCATCAGGCCCGTGACCCCCAGCTGCAGCTCCAGTGTCAACGCACACCTGTGATCATTACTATGTTGAGGACTTGTGTGTAGCTCATTTGAATTGCAGTAATGTACACCTCCTGTATATCCTGTAAGAAACAATTCATGTTCTATCCAATGTACAGATGTTTCAATAAAGTGTGTTGACTGTTTTACTTCTACACAACACGTTTACCACTCAATTATCTTAACAGTTAGGGATAAATGTCCTGTTTTTTGTTCCCCAAAGGCAGTGCTTGAATTGGCACGGTACTCACCGGTACGCAGTACCGGGACTTCTGATTTTTACCCATCTGCGTACCGTTACTTCTTACTGCGTACCGGCACCTCATGACGCATCTAGGTACGCATATTTGTTGCGTTTATTCCCCTGTGTCCTCCCTGGCAGCTCCATTGATTCCCTCTCTCCTTTCCTGCTGAAAGATGCATGAGTGTAGTCAGGGACGAGGAGTCATTTAACCAGCCTTTCATACTTTTTTTCAGTACAGTGAGCCTTTCTAAAATATACAGTAAAGAGACTAACCCAGCAGCATTATAGGACATACTATATGACCTGATGCAGGCACATGTATGGCTGTGTCAGTTCTGTATGAGAGCCCCGGACACCTCCCTGATTAGTCGTGCAAAAACATGCAATTTCTGAACGTTAAATATTTTGTTTTTAAAAAAAACTTTTCCATGTCTGTTAAAGTTTTTTTGTGTTTCGTTTTAATTACTGAATCAAATATATGAGGATAAGGATAGAGGGAGTCGTATGTTGTACAGATTGTAAAGACCTTTGAGCCAAATTATTGTTTTTGGGCTGTATAAATCAAATTGACTTGAAACAGTTGCTGATTTAGAGTACTGGCACCTTTTTTATTCCAATTCAAGCACTGCCCACAGGATGAATCCCTCTGGTGGTGATCCTCTTAATTTCCCTCTGCCCATTTATCTAATGCATGGATTGTCACGCAATTTACACACAAACATGCCCCCCTCAGGATGAGTTGTAGTAGCTTTGATGATCCCTTAACTTTTAACTTAGCACCATCTTCAGGTGACTAAAATATATTTGTTTAACATGCACACTGATTTTCCATCAGCCTCAACTCTACTTTGTCTTTATTGATAATAAGCAAATGTGTGCATGTTAACCTGCTAAACTAATACAAATTATATCATATTTATTTATAACTTGAACTTTCAAAAAAAGCAACAATGTGATTTACATTTATAATAAGTTAATGAGAACCAACATGCACACAGATTAAAAAAAAGATGGAATAGTTCATACAGTTAAAATTATTAACATAACATTTAAGTGAGCTGTTGCGTTTTTTTCTGACTACGACCTAATTGAAAGCACGTGTAGCCTTTTGAAAAATACTTACAAAGGTACATTTGATTGTTTTGGGGTTTTAGTTCAGTAGTGAAATAGTTTAACATTTTGGAAACATATTTTTACATGCTGGCCCTTAATGTATGACAAAATGTGAGGACAAAAAAGAAAGTGAATATTGAAACCCTGTGAAAAAGACTAAACATTTTGGGAACAACAAAGTGTGCTGCTGCTAGTCAGGGAAATGTTGTTGTTAATTTCTCACCTTGAGCCCCTGATTTGTTCCAGTTCAGTGGGCAGATTGAGGTGCCCCACCAGTAGGGGTGCCCAATTCAGCCCACTGATCTCACACACACCCCTTCAACCGCCCAAAAAGGCCTGCCAGAGCGGCTGGGTCGCCGAGCTCCAGCTAAGAATAACCCGGCCTTCTGGGGGATAAAGTTACCTTGAAGCCCCCCTGTGCTGTGATCTGACCTATACCCATGTGAGGCACCAATAACACAGGGGGGGATATTCTGTCTGTTCCCCCTTCTCCATACCCAGCCCTTTGCTTAGCTGGACTCTTTCCTTCCCCCTGCGTAGCTCTCCTTCGCCCCACCGCCCCAGACCCCCCTCTGCAATGCTGCCACACCGGCAGCTCCAACATCGCAACACCTGTAAATCTTAAATTCAGGCTTGATTTTCCTTTTATCAATCCTCGAGAAGTTTAACCATTGGATTACACCGGCCAGGAAACAAGACAGAGATCACCAAGTGGAAATGGAATAATTGAATAACTTGGACACTTTTTACACATAAGCGGATTGGATTGTATACTGAAGCTGTGATTTTCCATTCACTTCTGCATGAGGAGGCGTTGCCCTCAATTTAAAGGATTATAGCTGAAATTGTCTGCATATCATCATGGCTCAAGGTAGGAGTGTTCCCTCTGTGTCAGCACTGAAATTAACCACAGCCCTTTTTTGCTACAGCACAGAAAGTCTAAGTGATTTATGCCATTATATAAACAAATGGAAGTTTTTCGATGGTTTGTCCTCTTTGGAAAATGTGTTGAAAGTTGGTTGCTATAAATACAGGATATCATGTGGCTGGAGTATTAGCGTTGCTCTCCAGTGACAGACACGACTGCTGCTGCCACTGACCTCTGTCTTCAACTTTCTTTTTGCCATTTAAAAAACAAGTCCACTTTGTAGGCAATCTACTCACACAAGTTGTATTTTCTGTGGTTTGATGAGGCGTAAGGCCTTGTAATGATTTGAACAATAACAAGCAGTTTTCCTTTTAGAATCAGTGCGTTTGTGGTGAAATACTGACTCCACCTGTCCATCCTGAGAAACTCTGAAGGGACTGTTTTTGAGTCTCAGCATTTTTACACGAGGAAGTGAATCATAAGTTGAGCACGCTAAGAGTTCATTCACCGTAACAAGGTGTCTTTTCACACTTTGACACCTGATCCATGTCTGAATGTGCGTCAGTGTTGATAAGGGTGAGGATGTCATTAAATGCCATCACAAAAATGTTCCACTGGACTCAGCAGCTGGGAATCATATTATGTTTGAATAAGCTGATGACATGGAAACTACAGAAGATTCCTTTCTTTTCTGTTTTTTAATCAAACAAGATGTGTTTATCATGTCTTTTGATAAATACTGTACCAAGATCAGACTGTCTTTATCTTCTAAAGTTCCAGTCCTTTGATCACAAAAGAAAATCACCTTCACCTGTTACGGCTTAGCTGCCGCGTGTGATGAGACTCTATTAAAGGAGATTAGTCTCCCAAACAAACCACAGTAATGTAATTAGACTGAACCATAATTATGTGTTAAAGTTGTTGCTAGCATTACATGAATGGGAGAATCTTAGATTTATCAAGGCAGTGGATATGTTTACTTTGTTGTAAAATAATATCTAGATTGTTATCAGGAACTTCTGCTAATTACAGACACGTTTATTCCCCCAAGATGTTTATACCATTGTGTATCCATTACTGAACCACATTCTCAATTGAAGGCCCTAGAGACTTATAGGCCTACAGTATTTAAGTTGAACTATGATCGATGTGGCTCTGCATGAACATGTCATGTTGAGCTGAACCGGTTTGGTTTGTTTTCTTCACATGAGAAACAAGCTTCTCTTTCTTTGCTTTTTTCACTGATCCTATATTAGATTATATAAATAAAATAAGTTCTTAATGGAGCAGTTTAGATTGCTTTCTGAGTTAAAATAAACGTGTCACGGATATCTGAAAGAAGATTTAAGACATATCTTTGGCATTTCTCTGCCCACATGCACATATATCTGCATTTTGACCAATATTTGTCACTTGTTGTTTTATTGGTCTTGCTCTAGTAGGGCCTAAATACTCATTGTGATCATTGTTAATCTGCATGCCCTTTGTGTTTGTCCTATACAGTTATAGTTGGGTCTGACTGTAAAAGGACAAACCAAATATCAAAGAGTATATTAAAACAAAAAATATAATAAGGATACATATTCTAATACAACTTCCAGTGTAACAGAAGCGTCAGTCAGATCTAGGCAAGGCAAGGCAAGGCACGTTTATTTATATAGCACCTTTCAACACAAGGCAATTCAAAGACATTAAGAAAATGGCATTGAAAAACAGTCATTAAAAAGCAAAGATAATCAAATAAACATTAAAGGAAAAAATACATGAATAAAGATCTAGCAGCAAAGGCTGAACCACATCATCTTTTGTTTTTCTCACACGAAGGCGCCTCGAATGGAGTCGCTGCAGCTCAGAGGCCCAGAGGGCTCGGGATCCTCGGGAAGCTCAAAATGTCGGCGGAGCTGCTCATCGCCCTGGCGGCCCTCCTGTCCTGGGGGGTGGTGGGAGTGGTGATGTTTGACTTCGTGGAGTACAAGGCAGTCCCTGGTAAGTCACAAATACTTACATACAATTATCTGTACAGGGTTTCAATCAGCAAATATGCATAAGTATCAATCATACTGTTACCCTTCTCAGACATTCAACAAATCGTGTCGGACCCTGTGCAAGCTGTAAACGACGCTGTTGACGAAGTAACCAGTCTGTTCAATAAGTTTCAAGGTACATACTGTAAGAAAGACACACATCTTTTAAATAATCATAACCATTATGGACTTTATGTAGATAGCACAATGAATGCATCAACCGCTTAACATTTAAAAAAACTTATCATACACATTAACAAATGGTTGTAATTCAACTATGAATGGAAACAAGATAAAAGAAAAATACCTCTCTCTTGATAATCAAAGAACAATAAGATTTTAAAAATCATTGCTATTTCAAATGTTGTAATATATCAATTGTATCTCTGGGTCCCCAGAATGTGCACCTGATTTCAGTGACCCCACTTCCGCTGCCACCTACGCAGCTGAGGAGATATCGGAAGGAAAAGATGGATTTGTTCGCTATTTTTCAGATGAAGAAGGTATGAAAACACATAACTCTACTCAACAACAACAAAAAATGAATTAAATGTGACGTAAGCACGACTCTAACATCCACCTTCCAAACCCACAGGGAACTTCTACCTCAGCTATGTGGACCCGGTGGTCTTCGGCAGACAAGCTTTCCATTCGACTAATGATTTCATGTGTGGAGTTGCGGGCACCTTCAGAGACACACTGTGTGCGATAGTGGACACCATATTGGATACTATATTGGGTATAAATAAAGGTATGTATTCCATACTTAATGCTTATTTCTGACTAGGGAAAGTGTCTGCTTTCCTTTCTTTTTATTTACAAGAGAGTAACACAAAGTAAAAGGAAATCATTTTTGGCATATATTTTGGGATAGTGTGGTTATAAAATAATTTTCCCTCCTATGTTTCCCCAGGAGAAGTTGACATTAGCTACATCGACCCGGTGGTCACAGGCCGAGGATTCTTCAGTGTTACTAATGACTTTATATGTGGAGTGGGGGGCTACATCCAGGGTGTGTTCTGTGCCATTTTGGACACAATTTTGGATGTAGTGAAAGGTATTTACTCTTCCCTCTTAACGTTTCTTTATTATTTAACCTCTTTGAATCCTGCAATTACTATTTAACACATTTCATGTCCTTATCTGTTTTGTATTTTTTCCCAGGAACTGTAGATCTTAGCTTCATGGACCCTGTGTTGGTGGGCAGAAATATCTTCAGTGCTACAAATGAAAGCGTTAATGGTGTAGTGGGCTACATCCAGGAGATGCTTTGCACCATCGTAGACAGTGTACTGGATGTAACAAAAGGTAACTACATCTTTACAATGTTTGTGGTGCAATACAAAACGTAGCATGTCTATATGTGTTGCCTAAATGTGTGACTAAATCAACAATATTAATCAATAACTTAGCTTGTGTTTTTCATGGGTAACAGTACTTTTGTTTCTGTGTTTTAACTTGATCAAATGGTTTTTACCTGTCTTTTAAAATGTCTGTGTAGAATGAAGTAACTCATTGGAGTGTTGGTTTGCTCTTCTCAGGAACCACTGACATTAGCTACATTGACCCTGTGGTTATTGGTAGAAATGCCTTCGGTGTTGCTAACGACATTCTGAGTAAAATATCAGGATACATCCAGGATGTGCTCGGTGCCATCTTGGATGTGATACTGGACACAACACAAGGTAGAGTATTTTAACCTTTTCCCTAATCTACTGTTCAAATGTTTACCACAACCATGTTTACTTTACTGTAGCCTGTTAACTGAAGTTTTCCCCTGTTTTGCTCATCAGGCTTCCAGGATGCTATGGGATTCAGCCCCATGTCAGCTGTGAAGAGAACAGCAGAAATCACCAAAGAGCAGATAGACATGCTCGTGAACTACGTTTCCACAATGATGTTTGGTGATCAAGGTCTGTATGTTTGAATACAAATATGCTACATTAAAATACTGTTGCTGGTATCACTGTGTTTGCTTTTGCTGGTTATTTATACAAAGATAAGTAAGTATGGTAATAGAAGAAATAGCTAACAATTGTATGATTTATTTTGTACAATGTGTTTTATTAACGGCAGCTTTACTGATGTTTCAGGGATCCTTCCAGAAGTGTCCGTTGATCCCATGAAAGTCATAGAAGATGCTTTGTTGGAGTTCTCAGACAAGAAAGAAGTGTTTGTGGCTTACATGTCGAGCATGCTTGTTAGGGATCAAGGTATGCTTCTTTGCATTAGTTATATACTCTACTTTATACCTTTATAAATACACATACTTAAAAATAAAGTGGTGCATATGTGATGCCGGTTTTTCTCCTGTTTTAGGTGAACCTGCTGCCACACCAGCTGTTTCACTTTTTATTTCAGTTTTATCTAAAAGCATCTTACAAGCATAATACTTAATATTTCAAACCATTTGCACAACATATCTGTTTCTTCTCTTTGTTTAGATGAAACTGTGTCTCCCCTCTCTGATATAACTCTGGTATATAGGAAAGGTAAGTAATACAAATGTAGTTTTTTCGTTTGTCTTGCTGTCACATAACATTTCTTTGTTTATATAAAAAAGGTTAGCTGTCTTTCATAACCAAATGGTTTTTTTAAACGCAGGAGAATTTCTGCCACCTATTGAGAAAGGTAACAAATCAACACCATGCACAGAATATATTGTGCAAAACCACAATAATGTTTATTTGGGTGCAATACAAGTTGTCAGCAAACTTGCCACGCACTTGATGCATGTTTGCATTACATTTGATTTTCTTGGAATGAACTGGTCTAAACTTGATTCATGGTGTGTTAAATACAAGACAATAAGCCTAAAGTAAAAGGAAATTGAATGTTAATTTAGCTTGAATAAACCTCATTTTGCATCTAAACAAATATGCATCATGACCACTGTATACCTTCATTTGAATACATATATAATATTAATTAGTATTTGGCGACTGCATCTCTCCCTTTGTAACACTAAATGTTTGCTGTGTGGAACTATGCGTTCGTCTTTTGCTATCAAGTTGCTTTTGTTCCAGTCATCTTGTTTTCTGTTGTGCGTAAAACATTTGTATTCCTATGTTGCATTGAGCATAAAAACATGTCTTTAATATGTATCTTTTGAAGTTGTACGCATGTGTGTGTATGTGGATTGTTTGATCTTTGTTCTGCTGCCGTCAACTTTTACTATAGCAAGACATTTGCGTTAATTGCCGCAGAAAATAGTCCCCGTCAAATAAACTATTTACTGCTGATTAAGTCAAGCAAAATAATGCTTTAAATAAATCAGAATCAGAATACCTTTATTAGTCCCACAGAGGGGAAATTTGCATCGTTACAGCAGGAAAGAGCCACAGACAGTTTAATGTTACATATGTTAAAATAAAATACTAAGTTATGATATAATAAAAAATATAATTAAAAAAGAAAAAGTAAAACAAAAATACTTTTCAAAATACAAATCCTGTAACAGTTCTTAGGATTTAGCTGCCAGGTATATATTACACATTTATTAATGGCATATGTATATAAAAATGAATATATTGCACATATTGCACATAGTTTGATGGTATTTAACAGCAGCAAGTTACACAATTTACAAAATGCAAAAAACACACCTTGTAACGATTCTAAGGATTTAGCAGCCAGGTATAAATTACACAGTTATTAACGGCATATATATATATATATATATGCACATGTTTGATTGGTATTTAGCAGCAAGGGGTATCTGCATCTTCAGTACAACTGTATGAAAGTAATAAGAGATGAAGCATTGTTAGCTTTGGTTTAAATTTGGCAAATTCAGAATGTCATCGTCCAAGGCATGTTTTGTGTATAATGTCTTGAATGGTCATTGTTCCCATTTCACCCCATCCAAATGTTCTTTACCTGTAAATCCTTTTGGAGCTGCATTTCCATGTAAAGACGTAAAGGTCAGATAAGACAGGTCACATGCGATGATGATACAGTTGCAGAGATCATGAAAGCTGCCAAAGATGAAGCTGCTGCTGCTGCTGAGCTAGCTGAAGCCCAGGACTCACAGATTGAAGAGGCTGAAGTTCCCACTGAATCTGCCAGGGCAGCAGACGGGGAAGAGGCAGAGGAAGATGATGGTATTCATACGTTTATTCTTTTTGACACATTTGTTAGTCGGATACAAGATTGATAACAGGCACTAAAATTGTCACTATCACGTCACTAGTGAAACACGTCCACCTTGAAGAGACTGAACATGAACCTTCTCCAGAAGATGAGGCAGAAGAGGCTGATGCTGAGGAAGAGGAGATTAAAGCAGAGGAGGTTGTAGCACATGAGGAGGAGGAGGAGGAGGAGGTAAAAGATGATGAAGGTGTTGCTACAGAAGGGGAAAAGGAATTAAAAACAGAGATAGAAGAAGAAGAAGAAGAAGAAGAGGTGGAAGAATTGAAGCCAGAGGAAGAGGAGACTGAAGCTGAAGAAGAATCAGTCAAAGAAGTGGAGACCAAAACTGAAGATTTGATAGAGGAGGAGGAGGAGGAGGAGGAGGAGGAGGATGAGGAAGAGGAGGATGAGGAAGAGGAGGAAACTCGAACAGAGGAAGAGGCAGTAAAAGAAGAGGAAGATACCAAATCGGCAGATCTTGAGGAAGAAAAGAAGGAAGAGGAGGAGACAAAATCTGAAGAAGATGCTGTAGAAGAGGAGGAGGAGGAGGAAGAGGAGGAGGAGACAAAATCTGAAGAAGATGCTGTAGAAGAGGAGGAAGAGGAGGAAGAGGAGGAGGAGACAAAATCTGAAGAAGATGCTGTAGAAGAGGAGGAAGAGGAGGAGGAGGAGACTAAATCTGAAGAAGTTGCTGTAGAAGAGGAGGAAGAGGAGGAGACAAAATCTGAAGAAGATGCCGTAGAAGAGAAAGAGGAGACAGAGGAAACCAAAACTGAAGAAGATACACTAAAAGTTGAGGAGGAGGAAGAGGAGGAAGAGGTGGAAAAAACTGTAGAAATTCTGGTAGAAGATGAGGAGGATGAGACCAAAACTGAAGACAAAGCTGAAGAAGATACAGTAAAAGTTGAGGAGGAGGAAGATGAGGAAGAGGAGGAGGAGGAGGAAGAGGAGGAGGAGGAGGAAGAGGAGGAGGAAGAGGAAGATGAGGAGGAAGATGAGACCAAAACTGAAGACAGAGCTGAAGAGGAGAAGATGGAAGATGAAGATCTCCTTGTTGACGAAGAATCAGATGAAGAAAAAACTGAAACGACTGAAACTCACGTCCAATATGAGTTTGTAAAAACTGACCAGGACGATCAAGCTCTAGATGATGATGAGGATTTAGAAGAGGAGGAAGAAGGTCGACTGGACCAAGTGGAGAAGATGGAGGAGGAAGAAGATCGACTGGATCAAGTGGAGAAGATGGAGGAGGAAGAAGAAGAAGAAGAAGAAGAGACACCTCTCCAACAACTTGATCTTGAAATTCTAGCAACTGAACAAGTTGCTAATACCAGTGTAGTGCCTGAATCTGATGATGAGGAAGAAGAAGACATTATCGATGAAGACCAAGACGAATACTCCGACATCATTGACGATCAGGATGAAAACAACAACAACAGTGAGAGTGGGAAAACTGAACTCAAACGTAGGAGGAAGGTTCATATTCCCTTTGAGAGGCTGAGAAGATCCAAAGCTGCTCACAAAGAAGAACGCCTTGAGGATGAGAAAGGTACAACACTCTCACCATTATCCTCACATGTATCTCACCAGTCCATTTTCATTATGAGCTCATGAGAAGGATTCTGAATGATGAGTTTGTTACTAATGATAAATAATATGTGTGAATATTAACATGTTTTTAACCACTTGGTTGTGACGAGACTCGATTAGAGCCTAACATGTAACCTATTATCTCCTCATCTCAGGGAATGTTGTTCAAATGTTCTGATCGGTTATGTTGTGTTAATCAAGGCTTCAGGCCGACTGAGTAACTTTCACATAAAACTGTTTTTCATTAAAGATTAGAGAAACATATTTTAGGAACTACTCTTGTTTGTTGTTTTACTGAGAATCAGAGGAGAAGGTAAATAGGATAAATAACAAGACTTGCTAATGTATGGCTACAAAGAAGCCAGAACAAAGTTTAACCACAGGTCACATTGCAAACAGGAACTACTGAAAGATACTCAGCAAAATGTATAGATGGCCTACTATTAGTGGTGCCTTATTTTAAACAAACCAGGGCTAAAAACACCAACATGCGGCACCCAGACACAATATTGAACTCCATTTACGTCGCCAAATTGGGATGCTCTAATCAAACTAATGTCTTTGCAATGACTGTGTTATAGAGAAGCCTCTAAATAAAGCTTTGAGTCTAGTCTTCATCCTCTTGGCTTACAATGCTCTGGTACAATAACACATTTATATTTTACTTTGCTGTGCCTATTTCATTTTCATTAATGAATTGTTGTACTTGACACAGAGGAATGAACTGATATTGATCTTCTAATCTGACAAGAAAGATGAGCACATTTCCCAAAGTGTTTATTTAAAAAGCAAATAAACATGGACTGACCAGATCATTTGAGGTTTTATTTAGATCAGAAGCTCATCTTGACCATGGTGTGAACAGCTCAGCGGAAAGAGGATCTTGTGACTAATACAGTACAGTGCTCCTATAAATGTGCTCTTTTCTTTTTGATGACTCAGTAACTACAAATCTATTTCCTAATGTGCTAATTGTGTACTTAACTGCTCCTGCATTAGACCAAACTGTACATGCCTTAGGCAGTGAGCCATTATGCAGCTTCATTTATAGGATTCTCCATTAGGACAAGAAAAAAAATCAAATATAGCATGTCATCTTTCATACACAGTGAATGATGTGTCAAATGAAATTGATAACTGAAAAACAAGTTATTATGACTTTGTTGTAGATCTCTGCACCTTAAAAATGTAGGTCTGATCAATTATCAATATAATATAGTGATTATGCAAGCAAGATTAATTGTTAAGGCGTGTTGACTTTCTAACACCGACTACTGGTCAGAATTGAAGTATATACTTGTTATATGTCTTCCCTGACCACGCGTAGATTGAAACATTGGCACATCCTTATATATAAGGCTATTCTTGGTGCTCTTCCCCCTTATCTAAGGATGTACATAAATAGAAACTGGATCCTATCGGCTTCGCTCCGAGAACTTTTTCCTTTTAACTCTACCAAAGGTCCGTACTGAACTTGGGAAAAGAGCGTTCAGTTACGCTGCCCCTCAAGCTTGGAACCTGCTTCAAACTGAGCTGAAACTCAGAGAGCTGGTCTCATTAGAAACACTCAAAGCAACTTTAACTGACCTCGAAGCAGGCCGCTGTGTCTGTAAATGCTTTGGCTAAACTTGGTGCATGACTGTGTTGTGATTGTGTGTTTTTTAATTGTTTGTAACTGTAAAACTGTCTGTAACTGTGCTGTTACCATTCTTGGGCCAGGACTCTCTTGAAAAAGAGATTTGTAATCTCAATGAGACCTATCCTGGTTAAATAAAGGTAAAATAAAAATATAATTTGACACAATTCGTTATTAAAGGTAATAATCTTGAAATTGTGCACCTTCTTCAGTTTACTTCATTCCAACTTGACTTTAACATTTCAGAACGTTCTAA